AAAACCCCCTTGTCTTCTTCCTTTATCCTGTTTCTCTCTAGATCAACTGTGTTTCTGGCATTTTTCACATTACCTCCATTTGAGAGCTTCCATGAGCTCAGATGTAAAGACCCACCTGAAAACTACTGCTAAGAAGTAGGTTAGACCTCTTAGATAATTGATTCTTAACCTCTTTAGGGCTACAGACCTCTCTGATCACCCGATGAAGACTATGATTCTCCACATAGAACTTGCTAGTTAAGAGTTTCAAAGGGTTTATTGACTCCCTCAGGCCTATCAGTGGACCTCATGTTAAGAGACTCTGTCTTGGGTAGTGATAAGAGTCCCTCCTGGCCTTAGATTAGGGATACCTTGGCCCTCAGCTGGGAACTGTCACATTTCCTCCAGACCCAGCACTTCAGCTATGGTAGGAATTTGAATGGCCCTCCTTTTCTTGGAGACTTGATACAATTCTAATTGGATAATTCAGAGCAAGATCAAGAGGTTTCTTTTGGCAATGCTAAGATACTCTTGGATTTCTTATTAAAGAAAGGGATAGAGAGAGAGTTCTTTAGGGGAATAAAAAGTCTGAGTCACTCTTAAACCCAGAGAGAGATATGGAAAGAGATCTTCAAGTCTATGAGGGGAAGTGTAGGCAGTAGATGCCAAGAGTCATTTTCCCTGTCCACTGAATTTAGGGCATACAACAAGATTTTGGTCACTAGAGGGTAGGGGTGAGACATGATCATTATGAAACTGGCCCATACCATCAAGGAATATACCAACCTTCATAGTGGAGGGTCAACAAATTAACATCCTCAACCTCACCTTCTCCAATGCACCTGCCTGAGGTACATGGCACATAGAGGTTTTTTTTTTTAATTAAATATTGGAAGAATAACTCAGTTCAATGAGTTGACTTGCCCTACCCTGTCACTTTATGCTAACCAATTGGATTTAGAAGAATGTCTCCCAAAGGCAATGGATTTTTGTTTTAATGTTGAGTGTTGAGTCATTCCTAGCTGCTGGTAGGCTCAATTGTCTCTTCAGGCTACTCCCTATGGTTGATAATAAAACCATTATGGGAATAGGGCAGGCATCTGGAGTCTAGAACTTGTTGGAGGCTCTGGGAGGGAAAAGGAGAAGTGGAGTGGGATGAGGGAGCAGGCAGGGACAGATAAACTTTGAAGCTCTTAGTTTCTCCTTCTGAATCATAAATGTTATTTGGGGCAGGGGGAGGAATAGGTATATAATATCTATATCTATATTTAACTCCTTGTTCCTTTTTTCTACTGTTTTCTTCCAGTCTTGGACCATAATCATGTCGACTTATCTGAGTTATAGTATAATACTCTTTTGTGTTGTGTTTTTAAACTTATCATTATATAACATTTTTAATGATGTTATTTATTCCTTGTGAGTAACTTTTAAAAACAGACTCAGCTCTCCTTTTTTTTCTGACTGTAATGTAAAGCATATTCATTATTTTTAAAAATGCAGACAATATGCAAAAAAAAGTGAAAAATCACCCTTTATATTTTGAAGTGTACCCTTCAAGCCTTTTTTCTTTTTTTTTTTAAGACTTTATTTATTTATGAGAGACACAGAGAGAGAGGCAGAGACACAGGCAGAGTGAGAAGCAGGCTCCATACAGGGAGCCCGATGCGGGACTCCATCCCGGGACTCCAGGATCATGCCCTGGGCCGAAGGCAGGCGCTAAACCACTGAGCCACCAAGAATCCCCCGAAGCCTTTATTCTATGCATATATAAGTACATACTTTCAAAAATGGAAACATACCACAAATGCAGTTTTGGTTCTTGTTTTCCACATCATTCAGTAGAGACATAAAGTAGTAATGCAAAAAAAATATTTTAATAATTAGTATTTCAACAGTATTTTTAAAATTTATTTGCTATTTAGTAGAGCAGTATTTTTTTAAAGGTTTTATTTACTTATTTATTCATGAGAGACACAGAGGGAGGGGAGGCTCCCTGCAGGGAGCCGGTTGCGGATTCGATTTCCGGCCCCAGGAATCACGCCCTGAGCCAAAGGCAGACGCTCAACCGCGGAGCCACCCAGGCGTCCCAGTAGAGCAGTATTTTTAAGTATTGGTGTTCGACAGTTTACTCACCCTTTCCTACAGATGACACTTCAATTGTTTCCAAATCCTCACCACTGTAATAGTCCTAAGAAATACATCATCCTTCCTTAGGACCAATTCCTAGAAGTAGAATTTGTGGGCCCAAGGGAATGTACATTTAACAATGTGCATCGCTCCCAGTAGAAGTGTGTAAGAGAGCCCCCTTTTTCCTTACTCTTGCCGATATAATTTTCCTTCCTAACAGCGGCAAGATAGTCCGGGTGTAAAGCTCAGACGAGAGAGCTTCCAGTTTGGAGGAAGCCCCCACCACCCCAGCGCTCCCCAAGGTCCGGGCCACAGGGTCCCTGTCATGAGCGGGTACCGCCGCCAGATGGCAAGAGGGAGGCCCTCGCGGGGCGGGGCGCGGCGGGGCGGGGCGCGGCGGGGAGCCCAGCCAGCTCGGTGGGCCCAGCGGGTCCGACCCAGCACCGGCGGAGGCAGGGGGCCGGGACCGCGGGCCTGGAGGACACGAGGCCAAGGGCCAGGACGCGGAGCTCAGCGTCCCCGCAGAGAAGACAGAGTCGAGGAGGCACCTCCCGCCGTGCGCGCTGAGGGAGGTGGCGAGCGGGCGCCGCGGCCGCGTGGGGGGGCGAGGTCGCGGCGGGGGCTCCGCACCCCTGAGAGCCCCGAGAACCTCCCGGCTACTCCGGCGGCAGCAGCGACTCTCCCGGCCTCAGATCCCGGGAGGACGGCGTCGGGGGGACGGGCGAGAGCAGCCTGGATCCCACCCAAAGCCCCGCGCCCCACTTGGTGGCCGCGGACCTAAGGCAGGTCCCCCGACCTCGATGCGTCTCGGCTCCTCTTCTGTGAAACGGGATCGCCGCTGGCACCCACCGAGGGAAGGCTGCTGTGAGGATTAATTGAGATAACACAGGGTAGCTTGTATTTTTTTGCACCCTTCCTAAAAACACTACCACCCCTCAACCGGCTTACTAACTTCCGGGAGGCTGCAGAGGAGCAAAAGATCCGTTTCAGGAGAGACGTACTGTATTCCATTTTCTCCGTGCACTTTCTAGGCCTTTGTCCCCAAGCTAGAATGAAATGTTAGAAACCATGGCTCTCATCTCGGGGACCCCGCGGTGCACCCCAGGAGTCACGGATGATGCACACGCAGGAGACTTATTTCCAAGGTCTTACCAGGGTTCACCACCACGGGCCTCTGACAGTTCTCCTGGGAGAGGGGGTGCCAACTCCCACCCCCCTGGCCAGCGGTGAGCTCTGACAAAGTCCTGTGTCTACCCAGCACATCCTACTCACTTCCCCAGTCGGGTTCCCAGTTGAAGGAGTTGGCTGGTGGCCACCCCTGAGAATGAGGGTTGGGGAGGGGGAGGGGAACCAGGCTCTGTGTTGGCAGTTGCCATGGTTTTGCTCTGAGTTCTGGAGCCAACCTGCCCACTCCCTGAGACACTCAGGTCACAGAAGCAGTAGGTCAGAAGCCTGAGGGAACAGAAGGAGTGCCATTCTGGAGTCCACCAGTGCACCTGTTGAGATGGGGGCCTCCTGTGGGCAAGGGGCTGAAGGGGACAAGCCACTAAAGGTGAAGTAGGGCTAAGGATGTGAGCGAGAGAAGAAAGGGGAGTCCTGGGTGGGGGGCTGGTCTTGGAAAGCAGAGAACATGAAACTCAGGGAAGAAGATGGAAAGATGGTGATATACACGAGTCAGCACGAGACAGAAAGAACAAGAGGATGTTAACTCATTCAAACATATTTCTCAAAGGCATAGATTCCTGGCAAAATGATTGTTGGTTATGGAGACAAAAGTGCTCATATGTGTCTGCACATGAGTGTGTACACTTGCCTTAGGGTCTGCGTGCATGGTCGTGTGGTGTGAGTGGTGTATTGGTGGAGTCGATCCGCCAGAGTCCCTCCTCTCTCTGGGGCCTGGAGCAGTCGAACTTCCATACTCTCTCCGTTGACCTCTCTCCCTTTCCCTGGTCTCCACCTCCAGAGCGATCTGGGCCTGGATCTTTCTTGTTCCCCCTGAACACAGGCAAGAGGGAATTAATGCTTATTTTTCTGAGAGGCTTTTGAAAGGTCGGGTACAAATCCTACTGTGTCAGTCTAATCCTGTGCTCTGACTGCAAGTATTATTTCACAGTCACTTTGTCTTCCTTAATTTTTAGCTTTTTTCTGGCCCCACTTTTGCTGTCAGAAAGCTTTTTCTCATTACCATCACTGTCATGTGCTTTTCGGAGTGCCCATTACCATGGCTTGATGCTAGAGGTTATTAAAGGCAGGCCTGGGACTTGGGCACTCACTAAATGTTTGCTGAATGAAGGAGTAAATGACTCCCTGCTCATTCCCCTCAAGGAGTTCCTTAAATCTCTTGGTGCCTCAAAGGGTTCTTATCTGTAACCAGGGATAAGGATATCTCACTTTGCAGAATTTGTGGGAGAATAAAATGAGTTCATGTTTATCAAGTGCTTTGCAAAATTAGCTACTATACTGTGCTATAATTATTATAAAAAAACGGGTAGGGCATTCTAGGTTTTCTAAGCAGGGATCTTCAGGAATGGGTTTCTTTTTTTTAATTTTTATTTATTTATGATAGTCACACACAGAGAGAGAGAGAGGCAGAGACACAGGCAGAGGGAGAAGCAGGCTCCGGAAGCCCGACGTGGGATTCGATCCCGGGTCTCCAGGATCGCGCCCTGGGCCAAAGGCAGGCGCTAAACCGCTGCGCCATCCAGGGTTCCCAGGAATGGGTTTCTTTGTGAAGGGCTTGTTTGCCTCAGGGCTGGACCAAGGAAGAGGTCCTAGAGAAAAGGGAGAAGGGCTTTGGCTGGAATTTGGACCACTGGTTGCCTAGCACTGCCCCTCAGGAGCACTCACTTAAACCCCGACCCCCCGACTGACCACTGCCCCCTGCCTCCTCCCAGGTGACAGATGTACACCTCTTAGAGAAGAGCTCCAGCACCAACCGCACTGGAGACTCACTTGTATGCCATGCCAAGGGCCTGGGCCAGGACACCTTCAAAATTGTGAGTAAGGGACTCTGTCCCTCCTCCCTGTCCCTCCCCCAGAGACAGAAATTGGAAGGCCTCACACCCATAGTCTACTGTCCACTTGTCGTGCTTTTGGGAAGGAAGTGGGGTAAGACCTTGACTAGAGCCTCCTTACCTAACTCACTTAACAATTCCTGGCCCAGAAGGGCTGCTGGTTACCTGGGACTCCCCATCTGCCTCTTCTTCTCTCCTATAGTCCCTCACTTCATTTGTTGCTTCCTCAGTGTAAAGAATATCTAAGGCCACTGAAGAAGTTCCTGCGAAAGTTGCACCTGCCCAAGGACCTTCCCCAGAAGAAGAAGCTAAAGTACATGAAGCAGAGCCTGGTGGTCCTAGGGGACCACATCAACACCTTTCTGCAGCACTACTGCCGAACCTGGGAAATCAAGCACTGGAGGAAGTAGGGCGGCCTCCTTGCTCTTCCCACTATACCCCTTCCTGGGTCATGCCCCACGCACGCCCTTCCATTCAAGAACACACCTCAGTCAAAATCTCTGAGTCCTTCATCTTTATGTGAAAGAGTCAGGATCCTGGAGTGAGCATGGTGAAAAAGGGGTGGAGAGAACAGTCCTTTAGTTATTCAGGGCAGTGCTGATTCATGGCAGCTTGCATACACAGTGGACAAAGAACTCTCCTGACCCTGTGGAGAATAACCTCTGATGGAACAACTGCTGTGTGGTGTGGGTGTCCATCACCAGGATGGGATATTCAAGGTTTAGCAAATCTCCATCTCTCCATGTGTCCAACCAAATCCAAGGAAGCAGCATGTGACCCATTTCTCCCTGGGTGGGTCCTGAACACAAGACAAATACTGAAGGGCAAAGGGGGCTGTGCTCTGCCTCCCTTAGCTGTGGTTTCTCCCCTGCAGGATGCTCTGGCGATTTGTTTCTCTCTTCTCAGAATTGGAGGCAAAACAGCTTCGCAGGCTCTACAAGTACACCAAGAACAACCAGACGGCCAAGCTCCTGGTGAGGCGCTCAGGAAAGCTCCTCCCGGGCCCAGCTGAGGGTTGGCTGGTGTGTTCTTGGATTATGGGGGGAGGCCTGGGGCTGAGGGGGCCCTCTGATACCGCCAGCATCCCTCTGCTCATTTCCACACTGCCTCAGGAAGACCCCACTACCCCTATCTTTACCAGGGATCAAATGGGGCTGAAGAGGGCAGAGGCTTAGCTTCATGTTCTTGATACATATTCACTCTCCACACCTACACCCTGATGGTAACAGGTGCAGGGACATTCCCGAGGAGCTATGGGTGGGGATCGCAGAGTCGGGGCAGAAGGGCACAGCCAGCTTGGGGAAGACTCCAACGACTATCAACAGAGCCTGGCCTGGCTTTGTTCAAAAATAGTCACTCTCAAACATTCTGGTCTCAAGTCATGGTCACCCTCTTAAAAGCTATCGAGAAGCCCCAAAAGCCCAAAAGCATTTATGTTGGTTATATCTATTGATATTTGCCCTAATTGAAATTGAAACTAAAGAAAAAATTCAAATATGTACTTACTAATCCATTTAAGAATAAAAACAAGGAGCCCATTGCATTTTAACATAGATAATTTTTACAAGAAATAACTATATTTTCCAAAACAAAATTTAGTGAGCGAGAAGAGTAGCACTGTTTCACATTTTCGCAAACTTCTTCAGTGTCTGTCTTAGTAAAAAATAATCGTTTCTGCAATTTCTTAAGATCAGTGATTTGATTGGAAAAAAAAAAAAACTCAGCCTGTACAGATAGATGTATATTTAGAGATGAGAGGAGAATTCTATTAGCCTTGTCAGATAGTCGTGGATATTTTTCCTTGATACCAAAACTCAGCAAGTGGCAGCTACTTAGTAGCAATGTGGAATCTGAAACCAAATCAATGGGGAAGACACAGGTGGCTCAGTGGTTGAGCGTCTGCTTTCACGCTCAGTGCCTGATCCTGGGGTCCTGGGATCAAGTCCCACATGGGGCTCCTTGCAGGGAGCCTGCTTTTCCCTCTGCCTATGTTTCTGCCTCTCTCTCTCTCTGTCTCTCATGAATAAATAAATGAAACCAAATCAATGAATTTTAAAATATATAAATATTTTTAGTTTCATGTTTACAGAAAATATGGGTAGAAAGTACAGAGATTTCTCATCTAATATCCCCTCCTGCTCCCATTATTAGCATTTACATTAGAGAGGCACATTTATTACATCAGTGAGCCAGTATTGACACATTATAAAAGTTCACATTATTAAAGTTCATAGTTTACATTAGTGCCCACTCTTTGTGTTGTACATTCTATACTTTTTTTTAAAGATTTTATTTATTTATTTGATAGAGATAGATAGCAAGAGAGAGCACTAATGGGGAGGAGAGGGAGGAACAGTCTCCCTGATGAGCCAGGAGCCTGATGTAGGGCCCCATTCCAGGACCCTGAGATCATGACCTGAGCCAAAGGCAGACACTTAACTGAGGCACCCAGGTGCCCCTTATAGGTTTTGACAAATGCATAATGACACATATCCACCATTACAATATTATACAGAATAGTTTCACTGCCTTAAAAACCCTTTGCTCGACGCATTCACCCCTCCACTCTTTCCCTTCAAACTCCTGGCAACCATTGATCTGTTTACTGTCTCAGTGTTTTTGCCTTTTCCAGAATGTCATACAGTTGAAATCATATATAAAGTATATAGCTTTCTCAGATTTTATCAATGACCTCTTCACACTGGGTTACGTTAGAATCCATTGGTTTCTCTCTTGCACTTTGAATAGACCCCACGTTTCAGGGGGTCAGTGAGGTAAAAATATTTCAGGGGCCCCCATGGGTTCACAGAGCACACTTTGAGGATCACTAGTTCAAAATAATAATCATAGGTAACAGTTTCTATGTGCCAGGCACTTTATGTTCCCTCCTGTAATCTTCAAAAGTAACCCAACATGGTAATTAGAATTAGTGTCCACAGTGTGTAAATGAAGATGTCAAACGCAGAGAGTTAAAGTAACATAACCCAGACCACATAGCAAATGGAGGGAAGATCTGGGTTCAAATGTAATCTGGCTCAGAGGAAAGCCCTGCTCTAACTACAGCACCCCACTCTAGCTGTGCAGCTTTAACCAAAGCCTTCCCCGCTCTGGGTCTCTGATTTTTCCTCTGAACATGAATGGGTGGATCGTTTCAGTGAATCTTCTGAATATGAGGTGTCATTTTAGTGATTTCTCGATTTCACTGGCCAGGAAAATTTCAAAAAATATTTTTAGGCTCTCAATTTTAATTTTGCCAAGGACTTTTATTATTATTATTATTATTAAAGATTTTACTTATTCATTAATGAGACACAGAGAGAGAAGCAGAGACACAGGCAGAGGGAAAAGCAGGCTCCCTAGGGAAGCCTGATGCAGGACTCAATCCCAGGATCCCAGGATCATGACCTGAGCCAAAGGCAGATGTTCAACCATTGAACCACCCAGGTGCCGCTGCCAAGGACTTTGAAACAAATACCACTGTTTCATTACAAACAATCACATGAGACACCATAACTCTAGGCCAACAGACACATGAAAAGATGCTCAACATCACTCAACATCAGGGAAATACAAAATTACAATGAGATGGCACTTCACACCTGTCAGAATGGCTAAAATTAACAACACAGGAAAAAAGAGGTGTTGGTGAGAATGTGGAGAAAGGGGAACCCTCTTAACACTGTTAAGGGAATGCAAACTGGTGCAGCTACTCTGGAAAACAGTTTAGAGTTTCCTCAAAAAGTTAAAAATAGAGCTACCCTACAACCCAGCAATTGCACTACTGGGTATTTACCCAAATGATACAAACAGTGATTCAAAGGGGTACCTGCACCCCGATGTTTACAGCAGCATTATCAACAATAGCTAAATTATGGAAAGAGCCCAAGTGTCCATTGACTGATGATGTATATCTATCTATCTCACAATCTCAGCCATCAAAAATAATGAAGTCTTGCCATTTGCAATGACGTGGTTGGAGCTAAAGTATATTATGCTAAACAAAATAAGTCAGAGAAAGACAAATATCATGATTTCACTCATGTAGAATTTAAGAAAACAGATGAAAATAGGAGAAGGGGGAAAAAAAGAGGGAAACAAACCATAAGGGACTCTTAATTATGGAGAACTCTTAACTATGGAGCTATAGACAAGTATAGCAACCGAGAGTTGCTGGAGGGGAGGTGAGCAGGGACTGGGTTAGATGGGTGTCAGGTATTAAGGTATTGTTATGAGCACTGGGTGTTTTATGTAAGTGATGAATCACTAAATTTTACAACTGAAACCAATATTACACTATGTTAACTAAATTGAATTTAAATAAAAACTTGAATCAAATAAGAGAGGCCCTATATATAACTTTAAAAAGAGATGGGGGACATATATCAAAGTAAGGAACCACCCAAGAAGACACAGTTGGCAGCCTGGCCTGCATGTCCCCCACGGTCCTTTCTCTTCCCCCATCTGTGACTGGTTCCTTCCGCTGGCTAGGCAGGGGTGAGGCACAGCCAACCACAGTAATTTCCTAACAAGGGCAGGGCTGGGCCTCTGGAAGGTGGAGCTGTCTCTCCTCCACACTCTCCTCAACGTTATGGGGTTATGGGCCCGTTGCAGGTGGCGGTCTGCCCCTTGGACGCCCCGGAGAGCTCCTTGCTGGCGGACCAGGAAGACAACCTGCCCAAGCTCTACAGTGCCTGGGGGCTGCACAGTAACATCAGCGGCATGAAGGAGAGGCTGTCCAAGATGCAGGCTCCCCACGGAGAGGCCTCTCTGTTGGGGGAGCTCACATCCCTGACCCGGGTCAGGAAAGGTAATGCCCTTAAGTTGGGGGCGCACCTGGAGGAGGGGCCTTGCTGTAGTGCAGCCAGATGAGCTCCCCTTTCCATCTTTACCCTGCATTTCCCTCTCTATTTCTCCTTCCCCCTCTGCACTTTGTTTTCTCTTTTTTTGTCCCCCTCCCTGCAGGTATGCTTATCATAAAAAGTTTGCAATGTATAGATAAGCATAAGCCAGGAGACAGGAAAAGTCACCCACCACTCAAAGGCCACAACTGTTAAGAGTTTAGAGTTTCTTTCAGCGTTCTGTAGGATTTCCCTCCCGAGGCCTCCATACATACCATTTTGGATCCTGCCTTTTTCAGTTAAGGATTCAACTTAACTGAAGGTACTTTCCTGTAGGACTGGAAGCAGAGACCGTTTCTGGCAGCCAAGAGTGGGGATTCTCAGGAATTGTCCCAGCAGTGGCAGCATGCCCACTCTCAGTGTCAGGTGGGATATGGGCTAAGGGAGCGGTTCATTCCACAGTGCGGAGAAAGTCAGATGGCATGGCCTTCCCAGCAGCCTTGGTCTCTGCCATGACTGCACTGCTTGGCCCTCTGGATAGAGGCTGTGGGGTTAGGGGACAGAGATTCTTCAGGGAGGGGTCCCAGCCAAAATTGGAACCTATGAAGTCCCCTCCTGTGCACTGATATTGGAGCCACGTACTCCTTACTCTTCTGGATCTGGCTTCTGGGACTACAGTTAGCTAGCTGTTCTTGCTTAGCTACTGGGGGAGGAAGTGAAGGCAAACTGGCCTAGAATCTTAAAATGTGTTCCTAAATTGGCCCTAGGTGTTCCTCTGAGAGGCTGACTGGACTGATGCAGGTCAGCAGCTCTCTGGGCCTCTGCCACCAGTCACAGCTACCCCAAGTGGAATAGCAGGAGTGAGAACAAGGCAGGGGCAGTGGGCATGAGTTAGACAATTCCTAAGGCTCAGAACCCCCTCTGGGCTCTGTGAGGGCCCTTGGCCCTGCTGCCTACAGTTTAAATTGAGGAAGCAAAATATACAATGGGATGAAAGCCAGTCCATCCTTTTTAAAAAAAGATTTTATTTATTCATTTATTTGAGAGAGACAGAAATCATGAGTGAGGGGGGAGGGGCAGGGGGAGAAACAGACACCCCATGGAGCAGAGAGTCTGACGCAGGGCTCAATCCCAGGACCCTGGGATCATGACCTGAGCTGAAGGCAGATGGTTAACTGACTGAACCACTCAGACACCCCAGGCCAAAGTCATTCATGAATCAGATAAAGAAAGTGAGCTTTGGGCTTTGGGGCCAGCCTATCCCCATACCAGGTGCTTGGTATCTCTTTATTTACCTAACCCTAACCCCTGCAGCATTCACAGGAGATGGGTATTACTACTCCCCTTTTACAAACGAGCAATCCGAGGCCATAGGGCAAAGGGTAGGACAGGCTGGTTAAAGGAGGTTACTCTGGGACAGGCTTTAAATAAAGGGTAAAGGGGGTGCCTGGGTGGCTCCATGTTAGGGTCTCTGCTCAATTGGGAGTCTGCTTCTCCCTCTCCCTCTGCTCCTCCTCTCCCCCCTTCCTCTCCCCAATCCCTCTCCACCCTCACCCCCGCCCCCCCCGCCCCTGCTCATGCTCTCTCGCGCTCTCTCTCTCTCTGTCTCTTTCTCTCAAATAAATAAATCTTTTTAAAAATTTAAAAGATCAAAGATAAAAAAGAAAGGGAAAAGGAGAAGGGGAAGAAGGGGGGAGGGAGGGAAAGAGGAAAGGTGTGTACAGAGGTGAGGGGTGATGAGCACACAGTCTGGGCCTGGAGGTGAATGGAAGAGCAGGTTGCAGAAGTGCAGGATGGGGAATAATAGGAAAAAGCCTTGGGTGGGTTTTTATGTAATTCTTAAAATAACATTTTGTTCCTAAAAACATAAGCATAGCATAGAAAATAAGATAATATTGATAAGTAAAAACAAGAATATATAAACATCACATTATCCTCGCTACTGCTAGCACTTTCCCGATGTTTTTTTTTATGCATGTCCTGGGAAGTAGGGCATGAAATCTGAGCTGGGTGTGGGGAGGACTCAGAGTCAAGAAATGTGGTCTAGTCCTGACTGTGCCCCAACTTGCCTAGGGCTTTGGGCTGGGTGGACTCTGTGCTTAGGTGAGATCCCTCATCTGTAAATGGGGGTGATACCATCTTCCTACGCTGCAGGGTTCCTGTGAGGAAAGAGGAAGGGACTATGTTGCAAGTGAAGATAACATTTTGTTGCTCTTCCTTTCTGTCCCTACCACACCCCCTAAATGTCACAGGCTGAGATTCTCTTACGATTTGTGATGTTATCAGGACTCTTTCACCTTCCCTTTTCAGGTTCTCTAAGGAAACTTCCTCACAAAACAAAGCCCAAGAGAAAGTGGATTAAGGAAGCCCCTGAGACCCCGGAGACCTGCCCATAAGAACTGCCAGCCTGGACAGAAGGCCAGCGTGTCCTGGCTCCCAGACCACTTATCTTCAACACCCCTGCATCCTGGGGGCTGGAGACCAGTGGGGGGAAAGAAGAAAACTGTCTTTGTCAAAAGGATGCTCAAGTCTTAGTTATATAAAGGGGGCAGGAAATAAACATCCTTTAAGACAATTCTACCTTACTTGGCTAACAATCATCATTCATTCATTTTTTAAATTTTTATTTAAAAAAAAGATTGTATTTATTTTTTCGACAGAGAGAGAACACAAGCAGGGGGAGTGTGAAAGAGAGAAGCAGGGGCTCGATCCCAAGACCTGAGCCGAAGGCAGACACTTAACTGAGCCACCAGGCACCCCCATTCATTCCTATTTTAATTTATCAAAAAAATATTTACCAGCTACCTTCTGAGCGGTAGGTGCCCCACACAAGCATAGACAGATAAGAGGTGGTCACCTGGGTCAATGACCATCCCTCACAATCTAGTGCAGGAGACACACATGGATAGACATTACAACGGGTTGAAGAGAGGTGCCCGGGGACGTCTTGGCTGATGACAAAGGAGTGATGTGTGCCAGCTGAGAGCACAGTGGGGAGTGGAGCGGGCCTAGAGGCAGTGACAGAGGAGTCTGATGGCCTGCCTCAACTGTCTGGACTTGGTCTCCTGGGTAATCTGGGGGACCCTGGCAAGGTTGATGTCAAGCAGTGGGAGGAGCTGGTGTGACTTGACTGGGGAGATGCTCTGCAGGCTGTGAGCAAAGTGCATGGAAGTGAGAGATGGTAGAGGCTGGAGACCAGAAAGAAACCACATCAATAGTCGTAGCTAGGACAATGGTTCAAACCGGTGGTCAAAAATCGGCTGCTGCATGCTAAATTCAGACCGCCGGTGTGTTGTTTGCCCCTTGTGGTGGTCTACTCATTGTTTAAAACATGTTATTTAAAAAATAAGTTGCCAGTATTAACTTTGTACAGTTCACATTAAAAAGAGCAACAGATTTCTGGCTTTTAATAACTTGCCACCCATGGGTGTGCCTCCCCACAGCAGCACGTGGCTGGGGCTGAGAAGCAGTGGCTCAGGTTCCACCGATATTCTTTGTAGTTCACCACAGTCTCCACCCCATCCCTCTTGCCTCACACACTGGCCTTCTTCCCTCATTTATTTATTTATTTTTTAAAGATGTTTATCTTTAAATAAAGATAGCGCCAACAAGAGTAGAGCTAGCTGCAGGCAGCAGGAGAGGGAGAAGCTGGCCCCCAACTGAGCAGGGAGGCCGATGCGGGGCTTCATCCCAGGACCCTGGGATCATGACCTGAGCTGAAGGCAGATGCTTCATCACTGAGCCACCCAGGTGCCCCCTTCCCTCGTCTATATCAACCATTTAACTCTTTTCAGTTTTCATATTTGCTCCCCTAGGGAAATAAAAGGCAGTGAAGACATGCATAACAGGGGGAGGGGTGGACTTGTGACATTTATGCAGGGTAAATGGACAGTTTTTGGTGACAGATGTAAGAGATAAAAGCAGAGGAGGAGGAGGAAGTGAAGATAATACATTGTTTCTGGCTAGAAAGACCATGTAGATGATGGTCGACTCCAGGAGGGGAAGCAGGTGCAATCACTTTCCAAAAGCACAGGAGAATCTGAACTCTGCCTGAGGCTGCAGCATACAGTGCCCAGGGCTGCCCCGGAGGCGGTGGCACCAGAGTGCATGTGTGTGACTCTCCTCCTCTCCCTCAATTCATAGTCAGGAGTGAGTGTCATCAAATATTAAGTGCTAAAATGAATATCAAGATTCGAAGAACAAGTACAGGGAAGCATTAAAGAGTGAAAGAAGGCCCCAGCTCTCTCTGTGTTCTTCACACTCATTGCTCCCCAGAAGAGGCAAGATGAGAATACAGGCTTGGGGGCCAGCCTCACTCCAGTGGTCCCTGATAGTCCTGACAAAGCACAGAGGATTTTCCAGAGAAGGGTGAGCAGGGTGGAGGGTGTCCCTGATGATGGAGGTTCCCTCCGATTTTCCCTACTCCTGAGTGGTTTCACTGAGGAGGTCCCAGGAAAGGGCTGGTGGTTCTGGGAACCTTGTGTGTGAGGCAGCACCACCACCTAGAGGAATTATGGGATCCTACAGCCTTCCTCCAGCCATGGCAGGGTGTGCGCAGAGGCAGAGACCAGGAGGAAATAGAGGAATTTACAGCCAGCAAGGGGACGAGGATAAGGCCTGAAGGCAAAATAGACAACAGTTGTGGTTTTACAGCCCTCTTAACTCTCCTCAAATTTGGTAGGATCTTGGATTTTCACAAAAGAAGATCATGGGACATTGCTTCATTCAAAACCCTACGACAGCACAAAGGACTTTTAGGACAGTGAAAATACTCAGTGTGATCCTAGAATGGTGGATACCTGTCATTATACATTTGTCCAAATCTATAAAAGTGTGAGACATCAAGAGTGAACCCTAGTGTAAACTACGGACTCTGGGTGATGATGTGTCCTTGTAACAGGTGTAACACTCTGGCGCAGGATGTGGATAATGAGGGAGGCTGTGCATGTGTGGGGATGGTGGTGTATGGGAAATCCCTGAATCTCCTGCTCAAATTTGCTGTGAATCTAAAACTGCTCTGAAAAATAAAATATTAAGGGGCTCTTGGGTAGCTCAGTTGGCTAAGCGTCCAACTCTTGGTTTTGACTCAGGTCATGATCTCAGAGTCTTGGGATCAAGACGCTGTGTGGGGCTCTGCACTCAGTGCAGAGTCAGAGTCTGCTTGAGATTCTTTCCCTCTTCCTTTCCCTCACACTCTGTCCCTCCCACCTCAAATAAATAAATAAATAAATAAATAAATAAATAAATAAATAAATAAATAAATAAATAAGCAAGCAATAAAAATTAAGTATTAAAACAAAGAAATAAAACCCTCAAAAAAAGACGACTTTGGGATCCCTGGGTGGCGCAGCGGTTTGGCGCCTGCCTTTGGCCCAGGGCGCGATCCTGGAGACCCGGGATCAAATCCCACGTCAGGCTTCCTGCATGGAGCCTGCTTCTCCCTCTGCCTGTGTCTCTGTTCTCTCTCTCTATCATGAATAAATATAAATCTTTAAAAAATGTTAAAAAATAATAAAAAATAAATCTTTGGTCTATCTGAAATTTTTTTGCTATAAATTGTATAAGAGGGAATCCAACATATTCTTTTTCAGATGGTTAAACAGTTGTCCTTGCACATGTGGGAGTGTATTTATAGGATATAACATAGGGGAAAAATTCATCTTTCTTACACTGATTTGAAATGTCACTCTTATGATACATTAAATTCCTGACTTATTTGTGTCTATCTATGAACTTTCTGTTCTGATCCATTGATCTGTCTTTCATGTAGAATTTTTACGAAAAAGGAGAAAAATATACTACCATAACAAAAGAGTATATGAAAAGGGGCACCTGGCAGGCTCAGTAGGTGGAGCATGTGACTCTTGAATTCAGGATTGTGAGTTCCAGCCCCACATTGGGTGCAGAGATTACTTAAAATAAGCAAAACAGTATATGACAGGAAAAGGGTACACAGATTCTAAAAAGAGCCAAATAGAACATTTTAGAAATGAAAAATACATCATTGATATTAAAAATCTAATGGTCAAGTTAAACAGTAGACAACATCTGAATTCATAGATCAATCTGAATATCATAAGGAGAAATAGCCAGACATTATGAGCCTCCAGTGAGGCTGTATTCTTGCAAAAAAAAAAAATTGTTTTTGAAGGCAGCCCTGGTGGCTCAGTGGTTTAGCACCGCCTTCAGCCCGGGGCGTGATCCTGGACCCCCGGGATTGAGTCCCACATCGGGTTTCCTGCGTGGAGCCTGCTTTTCCCTCTGCCTGTGTCTCTGCCTCTCTCTCTTGAATAAATAAAATCTTTTAAAAAAATTGTTTTTGAACCTGAATTTGATCAAATTTCCAGTTCATGGGAAATATAAGGAACTGAGGAGCACAGTAATTGACACTACAAAGACAGAAGCAGCAAACTCTAGACTATAGGAAGATCCAAAGAACAAATAAACCAGTTACCTTAATAAACAGCAAACATTGAGGGGGAGGAAGAGGAAATCTAAAGATTGGGAGAGACTGAAAAAGTTATGGCCAAATAAGATGTGGGGACCGTGTTTTCATACTGATTAGAACAAACAAACATTACATAAAAATGTATATGAAACAGGGAAATTGAACATGAATTGACTACTTGAAGATATAAAGGGATAACAATATTTAAGTGTGGTAATAACATTTTGGAGTTATATATTTTTAAAGTACTTATATTTTATATATAAACAGTGAAATGTTTGTGGACAAAATAGTATGATGTCTGAGATTTTATTTAAAAATAATTTAGTGGCAAAGGCAGAGTGCATAGAGGCTGAAGGAATAATTATACAAGATTAGTCATGGATTTGGGGCTCCTGGGTGGCTCAGTTGGTTAAGTGTCTGCCTTTAGCTCACGTCATGATCTCAGGGTCCTGGGACCAAGCCCCATATTGGGCTCCCTGCTTAGGGGGGAGCCGGCTTCTTCTTTTTTTGGGGGGGGAGCCGGCTTCTTCTTCAGCCCCTCTCCCTACTCTTACTCTCTCTCTCTCTTTCTCAAATAAAATAAGTAAAATCTTAAAAGAAAAAATTGGTCATGGATTTTTAAACTGGATGAGAGGTACAAGGGATATACATTTGGAAATCTGTATATATTTGAAAAACTTTTAAATAAAATGTTTCAGAAGATTAGCTAATCCACTGCCTGTTATTTCTTTCTTTCTTTCTTTCTTTCTTTCTTTCTTTCTTTCTTTCTTTCTTTCTCTTTCTTTCTTTCTCTCTCTCTTTCTTCTTTCTTTCTTTTCTTCTTTCTTTTTTTTTTTTAAGATTTTATGTATTCATGAGAGTCACAGAAAGAGAGGCAGAGACATAGGCAGAGGGAGAAGCAGGTTCCTTGCAGGGATCCTGATGAGGGACTTCATCCCCTGAGCTGAAGGCAAACACTCAACCGCTGAGCCACCAAGGTGTCCCTCTCTGTTATTTCTAAAAGAGCTATATTCCTCCTGGTTTATTTATTTATTTATTATTTTATTTTTTTTCCTCCTGGTTTAATAAATTTTATTTTTTTCTTTATTATTTATGATAGAGAGAGAGAGAGAGGCAGAGACAGAAGCAGGCTCC